CTGCTGAAGCAAACCTTATTCTGACCTCGCACATGTTTATCCCTCCTCCCACCTTGTTCAGCAAGGAGAAATATATAGATGTACTGTTTCAGTCAATTATGTTATGCTCTTCCCCTGGCCAGGGCTAAGTGTTGCCCTATCAATGAAATTCACTTCTACCTAGCTACGGTTAGTCCTGAAATATGCAGGGTCTTTTACCTGCACCTGGATTGATGGGTTTCCTATTCCTGAGAAATGAGCGGGAGTTATAAACATCTGTGCTTTTTCTTAAGTGTAATGCTTTCCAGTCATTCTGTCTTCACCAAGCGTAACTTACTTGTCGACAAAAGTGCATGAGCAGCGCTCCTCTTTAATAGTCTGCTATCGGAGCTGCTGTGTTGGTGCTGCAGAATGGTGAGACGCCAAGCTGTGAACCACCATATGCACTTGGCAGTCTTTGTCTGGTCTTTGTTCAGCCAACCTCTTAGCCTTGCCACCTATAAAGATAATGAATGCAAAATGGTCCTCTGCTTGCTCTTAAAATTAGATGCTAAGCTTAAAGAAAAAGCAGATAACTTGATGCTTTGCAGTAACCAGTAATTTCAAAACAAGGGCTGCCAGTTCATCAGCAGCACTGGGTTTTCTGCGTATTGATGTTTTTTGAGGGAGGATCCTTAATGGCTCTGAAAGGCAAGAAGAATCTAGGATTTCACTGTCGTAGATAAATTGTTTGGAAGGGGAAATAATTTTGGCATTTACTGTAGGGAAGGGAGTGGATGTTGAAAAAGCATCTAGAAATAGTAAACAGCCCCTCACATGCCTGCCCAAGAAAACGTATTTCCTGGAAAGGTATAGTAACTCACCTCAGATCTTCATGTTTCTTGTACTTGGTCTTTTTCTCTAAAAGACAAAATATAAACTCCTTACTTGAATTAACCACTTACTAAACTGTTTCATGAGCAGAAAAGAGCAGCTTTAGTACTTGGCCTTCCTTTTTGAAGATATGTGATTCTAGCTTGTATGTTTTTACGATCACAGTCCTTCCTAAGCTGCTTGTAATGTAATAACTTGGTCCTGGCTGAGGCCTCATATGAAAACTATTAAAAGCTGACCTCCAACAGCAATTTATCAGGCCTGTTTAGGATTGATTCCCATTATAAAACCCTTGTTACAGCATCCTGGATGTCATTGTGCCTTGAAAGTTGTGTGTCTTTAAAAAGAAAAAGCAACACATCCAGAATCACTAGTTGGTCTGCAAGCCTTGATTTACACAAAATCCTCCTGACCAGTTTATTACATGCCAAGTGGGATTTTTTTTGTTGTGTTTCCCCCTGCATATCTACTGTTTGTCAGCAAACAGCTTCTACCTCTGTCCTGTGCCTGCTGGCTGTGCTTTTTCTTCCTCTACACCAGACCAGCAAGCCTGAGCTGCCTAGGCAGTGCCTGATCACGCAGCACTGCAGTGGGCACACAAGCACACTGCTCTTCTGATGGCTTCCCGCAGCCTGCTTGCTTTCTGCTAGCCCTGCTCTGCCACACTGGCCATTCACAGGGCCCAGCTCTTCCCATGCCAACAGATGCCACTTCTGTCTCCTGAGGTGCTGGACTGGAAGCTGGCTCTGCAAGAAACGAGACAGAGCTGTGCTCGGGGAAGGACAGGTTATTTGGGGGACATGGGGGAAAGATACACAATGCAACTTCTGCCTTAAAATGCACACTCCTGAGCTTGTCTGCAAATAATTGGAAAACCACCCTTTTCCTGGCAGAGCTCTCCCTAAGCAGTTTTGCTGTATCTCTTTAAAACCTGTTTAGTTGCTCACTGCTGAATTTGTGGGAATGTGGCCTAAGGCTATGAATACTGTGGTGATCAAACTGATTTTAGATGTGTGTGTGGGATTCCCCCGAAGCTGGCTGTCATTAGTCTGTTAACACCATGGCTGAATCCATGCAAAGGACCGCTGTCTTCCAGAGTAGCTGACTTTGGCAGTGAGGACAGGATTCTCCCCACATACCCAGGAGTTATTAACCAAACGCTTGCTACAGACTGTACATGTCTGAGATAAACTGTGGCCCATCTTTACTCTAAGGCAAGTAATAATTGGTTTCAATCATGAGGTTAACAGGACAAAAGTCTCCTAGTGTTTTTTCTTAGCCATACTGGAAAAACCCTTCTATGTCTTCTTGTCCACCTTCTCTTGTTCTACTGATGTTATTTTTTTGGAGATGGCATCTTAAGTTTTGGAGCATCAGTCTTCCAGGAAATTTTACATTACCAACAGTGAGGGGCAGGAGGTAAGAGCATAGCCATAGTATCATATGCTACCTACACAATTTTAATTTTTCTTTAAGAATCTCCTGACTACCTCTTTTACCAGCATTTAGCTCTGTCATAATTTCTTTGTGATTTTTGGCAGCCAGACAGGCTCAGTGCAATTAATAATTGTTAGGCAGATTAAAGGCATAGGGGCACAGAGAACTGTTGCACCTATTAACAACCTTTTTTGTTTTCAACAGGTTCCACTGTTTTAAGTAGTTATTCTGGGGTGTTCAGGAGCACTGGTGTTGCTATGCTGATCAAACCACCATTTCAGCTTTTCAAAATGGCCATTATTGGTAGTTTCAGAGTAAATCCATAAGGCAGAGGCTTCATCAGCTGGTATCTCCACAGTGGTGCATTGTTGTGTTGAGGAGGAGAACTTCTTTCCCTGCCATAACCAGCTATTTGGCTTAAAAGTACAAGTTAGCCTCTAGTATTTGTATGTGTAAAATACAGGCTGTGTAATACAAATATTCTGTTTCTTTTCTCCTTGCAGAGTAATATTAGGGCTAAGAACTGAATTAAAGCTTACTTTCTTTCACAGAATTCCTCTGAAAGAGAAGACTGTAATAATGATGAGCCCCCTAGGAAGATCATTCCTGAGAAGAATTCACTTAGACAGGTATGTGATCAGTGTCTTTAAAAATGCAATAAAACTTTCTAGCTATTTTAATCCTTAAATGCTTCTGGAAGCTGAAGTCTGACTAGTGGTCATGGAAATCCTTTCTTTTCTCTTTTGAAGTCTGAATAACATTGTACCCAGAAAAATCAGACACGCAGATTTAGCTTTCTGGAGAGTCTGATGACTCTTCCTGAAGAAATCTAGACTTCTGCCTGGCGCAGCCGGCTGTGACTCTCTAGTTTTACCTTTCTCCATTTGGTGTTCATCAAGACTTCTTCAGCTTTCTCTTCTGTAATTGTTCCTGTCTTGTTTGTAGAATATTTTGCCTTGCTTCTGATTGTGCGCTCAAGAATCATAAAGTGTTCTAGAACAATTAAGCTTTTCATTATCCTTGAAGGCAAATTTTCTTGGAGGTGATGTCCAGGTTAATAACCTGAAAAATTGCCTACTTTTGTTTCTTCAACACTCGTATAAATTACTAATGGGTAGAAAGGAGAAAGGGTGGGCTGATAAAACAAGATCTCTTTGCCTTTTACATACAGTAATGCAAACGGGGCCTGGCTTGTTATTTCTGTGGAATTTAAGTTGAGTTTAGTGATTTCAGATCCTGCTTTACGTAGGATCTTGCTCTTCCCACTGCAAGCTGCAGGCAGCAGAAACAAAAATATGTCCATCCCTCAGCTGCCCAAGTTTGCTGCCTGGTGTATCAGAGGAAAACCACTGATGAAAGTGACAGAAGTAAATATCCTAGCCCACACATTGCAGGAGCTGAAGAATTGGCACGTTTTCTTTTGCATCTTAGCTATAGGAGCAGCAGTCTCAGGCAGAAGAATAGGGTCATAATACACTGCCCCACTGCTGCTATTTCCAAGAGGAAGTGTGGGTCAAAACTGTGGTAAAGAAAGGAGTATCTTTCTGATACAGTATGTTTGTGTTCTGAGTTGGTTTTGAGAGGGTGGTGGAGTAGGGTATTTTCTTGTGTTGTGTTTTTTTTTTTAAAAACATAGTGTTAGAAGTGCTTCAATGTGTGGGAGTAGGTGTCATGTGAAGAACTGCTTGTGGCTAAGACAGGTCCATCTAACAGACATAGTCCATGTCGGTCTTTTAGACAAGAGGCAATATGCCATGATAATGAGTGAGGTCCCAGATACTGCTGAGAAAATTACCTTGTAGAATTGATTAAATATGTTACACTGGTACAACAGAAAACTGGGTTTTTTTCATCCTAGAGTTATCTTATTGATGGGAAGCCTTCAGGTTCAACAAGATAAGGCATATGTCTCTACTCCAAGAAAAAGTTCATAGTAAGATATGTTAATTCAAAAGGAACACAAGTTACCTGTCATGTGTGCCTTCTTGTCGTACTGAGTCCTTCCTCATGATTATTATTTAAGGAGGGGACAATTACTCACAAGCAGTATACTACAAATCAGGAAGGTATGGTTTCTTGAGTTGAATTTCCTTTCCATTATATTTCAATCTGCAAAAATGTTCTTAGTGTTCAGGGAAAGCTGTCTTCTGCACAGCCCACAATTCATTGTAACCAAGGTGCCTAGATATCAAGAATACACCTAAAAAACCACTGGTACTGTCCAAATATTTCATATTGAAAGTAATTTGCAAGGACATTGTTTATGACAAAGATGGTTAGCTGTGTTTCAGGACATTGTTGAGATGTTGTATCAGTCTCCATCTTTGTGTTTGGTCTTTACAGCAACAGATGCAGGACAAAGTCCTTGGGTCTTCTGATTGCTATCTGAGTGTTTTGTGTTGAGAACAGTGTAGATGGCTTCAAGATGTAGTCTTAGAGTGCCTTCTGGTCTAGGTTGTAACAGGTGGTTGACCAGAAGTTTTAGCCTGTGGTAGGAGTTCTTGTTTTTTATGTAGACAGGAATAGAAGCTGTCAGTGCATTTTGGACACTCAGATTGCTGCTCTGATTGTGATGGGGACTTTTCCAACTCTAGGTGCAGGAAACAGACACGTGTGCAGCCATGTGCTTTTTTTCTTCCTAATCAATGAGTGCTGCTTATTGGAAAGATCTACAGCTCCTCAAGGAAGGTGAGCAGAGAGGCTGCCATGTCTTACATCCATCTATACTTTGTAAAACCAAACAGATCTGACCTGCAAGTGCTGTCAAAGCAGTAATACACAAAAAGTGGAGGAGAGGAGGTCTGTTTACTAAAGTGGCCTTTCCAGTGAAATTGTCCACATGTTTAGTACTTTTTCAATATTTTTAGAAAATCAAAGAATCTTAGGGGTTGGAAGGGACTTGGAAAGATTGTCTAGTCCAACCTCCCTGCCAGAGCAGGATCACCTAGAGCACATCACAGAGGAACATGTACAGGAAGGTTTTGAATGCCTTCAGTGAAGGAGACTCCACAACCTCTCTGGGCAGCCTGGTCCAGTGCTCTGTCACCTTCAGAGTGAAAAAGTTTTTCCTTATGTTTAAGTGGAACCTCCTATGCTCTAGTTTGCACCTCTTGTCCCTTATCCTGTCGTTGGACATCACTGAGAAGAGCCTGGCTCTGTCTTCCTGACACTCACTCTTAACATATTTGTAAACATTGATGAGGTCGCCCCTCAGTCTCCTCTTCTCCACCTAGTTATGTCCTCATAAAAGGCTATCAGGTTGGTTAAACTTGACTTCCCCTTGGCAAAACCATGTTTCTGTTGTCCTTGGCCTCTCTTACAAGGCTTAATTCCAAGGAGGCCTTGGCTTTTCTTGTTGCCTCCCTACATCCTCTGGCAACAGTCATATATTCCTCCCAAGTGGCCAGCCTCTCCTTCCGTGATCTGTAGACTGTCTTCTTCCACTTGAGTTTGCCCAGCAATTCCCTCTTTAACCATGCGAGTCTCCTGGCTCTTTTTTTTTTGTTCCTTCAGGGAATATGTGATGTCTTGACATGTTCAGCTGTCAACAAGTTTATGTAAAGATGCATTACCTTTTCTTGCCTTGTTTGCTGTGCTGGTATGCAGCCTTAGCCATAAAGGATGGGTTTGTGGAATAGACATACCAGAAGATGAAGATAATAGGAAGGTGTGGTGGTTACTTAAGCATCTGAGGTTGTAAGGAGGGGCTGAAGATACCCGTTGCTCAGTGCTATGGACCTCTTACTAGGGGAAACAGGTTGATTAAAATGTTTTATGGGGAAGGGTGACTTCAGCAGTCTCAACGAGTGGAGCTGAGTTGTTGGCATGCTGGAAGTGGGAGGCACAGCCACTCTTAGGTGCTTGAAGGATATGAAGGCAGGAGGGACATGGATATTATGGGAAAGGAAACAGAGAAAGGCAATGAACTTGACACTGTTGGCTGGAACAGTGTAAAGATACAAACTATGACAGTAAGGGTTCAAACATTCAGTTCTTCTTGAGTGCTTGATGTGACAAAATTAAATTTTGGAGGGGTAAACAAAAAATCTAAGTATGAAAACAGACTTCAGAAAAAACAATGACAAGTGGCAAAAGTTTTTGGCAACTTTATTTAAGCTAACAAACGAATTTTCACACTGCAAAGTTATAAATTAATTTTAATAGGCTGATCCAGATGGTCCATTTGGAAAATGGATAGCTTGATCTGTTGAAAATTAAACTAAATTTATCTCTCTCATACTTCAAACTGAAGTAAGTGTGAGAAGAGTGCCCATTAAGTCCAGCTCATACAGATGGACCAGCAGGTCACACATGGGACTAATCTGATTCATTTTAAAAATAAATGCATGAGTTATTGAATCAGGTTCCTGTTTTTAAACCCTGCGTGTGAGCATGTGTGTGTGTGTGCTGCCCTTTCAAAGGGACTCACAAATGCTTCAGTGCCTTTTTAACCTGTGTGTTTCCATTTTAATTCAACTTCCTTGCCAAAAAACATAATTAGTTTTCAGTGCCTATCATTTAGCGTTAGACCCAAACACTAGATTGATTAGGTCAGGCATTTGTTATTTTAAGGGCTATGTCTCCATTCTTTATTTATGAAGAACATGAGCTCAATAGTCTTGGGGAGTGAGCTGGCCTTTAGAAACTGGGAAGGGGAAGCTCTCTGGGGGCCCCTCCAGCCTTTTAGCTTCTGGGTGTTTTTAACAGAGCCATGAATGCAGATTTGTAAATTTATTGCAGTGCCATCTGGTTTTTTTGCAGGAACCGTATTATTGTTGGCTCGTATCTGTCTATTGTGGTGGTCACTCCCCGGGAGCTTGCCCTCATAGTCCTAAGGAAAGTGATGAATAGTGGGGGTCAGCATGAATAGGTCACAGGGCAGCTGTCCGGGGCTGCCCTGAACTTGATTACCCCGCTGGTTTTTAAAGACAACGGGCACAATGCAGGTTGTTTTAAACTCTCCCTCCCTTCTCTACAGTGCAGCGATAATGAAGTGCCTTTTGCTGCTGTGGTTTGTCTGTGGGTGAAGGTGCCTTGTGGGGAAATGCTGGCAGCAGCAAGGCTGCCGTGCTGTACCTCCTGCAAACCTCACATTGGACTCTGCTGTCTTTCTGTCAGCTTCCAGATGGAAGTCTGGGGGGAAAAAATCCCTGTCTGCTACCCCATTCAAACAGGCCCCTTAGCGTTTTCAAGAAATTTACCTCTTACCATTTTGGCGTGGAATATTACCTAAATTTGCTCTTACAGATCTGAGATAATTTTGTAAAATTACATGTAGCACCTAAAACATGCTCTAGGCGCTATTTCAAAGTTAAAATAGGCATAGTCTGATCTTCAGAGCTTAAAGCCAATACAAGCAAACTGTAAGAACCGGAACACAGTTAAAGAAGGCAGAGCAAAGGAAAGACAGAAAGTCAACTGTTTTCTTCCAGCTGGTACCCTCATCCTGCACGTAGGGCTTCTCTCCAGGCATATTTCTCATCCTCAGAAGTGTTTCTTCCATGCAGACTTGAAGCCCATTTCAACTGTGGGGAAAGTTATGTACTGGGGAGAGAGTGAGGGTCCTTCAGCTTCCTCCCTCCGAGGAAGACACTGCAGTTTGAACTTGCCTTCTGTTGGAGAGCTGGCA